GACTGCACCCACCCCGTGCCAGCCAACGGGGGCTCCTACTGCGAGGGTGTCCGTGTCAAGTACCGCTCCTGCAACCTGGACCCCTGCCCCGCTGCAGGTAAGGGGTTGGAGCCCGGCTCCTTATGGTGTGTACAACCTACAACAACCCCATAAATCCAACTCTGGAGGTCCAAGGTGGTCCCCAATCCCACGCACATCCTCGTTTCTTCCAGTGCCAGGGAAGAGCTTCCGTGAGGAGCAGTGTGAAGCTTTCAACGGCTACAGCCACAGCACCAACCGACTCACCGCCTCCGTCTCCTGGGTCCCCAAATACTCCGGCGTCTCGCCCCGAGATAAATGCAAGCTCATCTGCCGGGCTAACGGCACCGGCTACTTCTACGTGCTGGCTCCCAAGGTTGGTGAAGGACCTCCAGGGTACAGCATCTGGGCTGGAGGATGACTCCGGTGTTCCTGGAAATGAAGGCGTTTTCCTTGTCTTGGTGGGCAGCTGGTGTTAGAGGAGGTTATGGAGGAGGAGAATCCACCAGGCTGGTAGGAATGGGCACGGGTGCATCTGCTTATTTATCTCAGGGCTGGAGCTGGTCCATGGAGGGTCTTCCTCCAGGTTTGTGAAGGTGCCTCTAGGACATGCCCACAGCCCTGAAATCATAGAATCATAGAATGGTTTGGGTTGGAAGGGACCTCAAAGATCATCTAGTTCCAACCCCCCTGCCCTGGGCAGGGACACCTCCCACTAGAGCAGGTTGCTCAAGGCCACATCCAGCCTGGCCTTGAACACTTCCAGGGATGGGGCATCCACAACTTCCCTGGGCAACCTGTTCCAGTGTCTCACCACCCTCAGAGTAAATGTAGAATGATATTGCTGAGTTGGGGAAGCGACGTGCAGGCAGGACAGGGCAGGTGGCCAGACATGGGACTGGGGGCTTGTCCTCCTGATCCAGCCCGTTCCCCTTGCACCGATGCAATGGAAAGGGCAGAGAATTATGTAGATGCAGCAGAAAAGGGATGTAGTCCCATCCGTCTCTTCTCAGAGACCCCAAAAATCCCAACTGCAGAGCAGAGCATGAACAAAGGGTGACACGGTGCCTTCCAGCATCTCCTCAGGACCTGTTGGGTGGATCTGGGGGGGTTTGTGGGGTGGCACAGGGAAACCCATGGGCTTGTTTTGCTCGCCCCGGTGCAGGTTGTGGATGGCACCCCTTGCTCCCCAGACTCCACCTCCGTCTGCGTCCAGGGCAAATGCATCAAGGCTGGCTGCGACGGGAAGCTGGGCTCCAAGAAGAAGTTTGACAAGTGCAGCGTGTGTGGAGGAGACAACAAGAGCTGCAAGAAGGTCTCGGGCTTGTTCACCAAACCCATGTAAGTGTTAGGTGACCACGGGTGCTTCCCCCTCTCCCGGCTTTTTGGGGTGGATGCAAGAAGGTGGTGGAGATGGTGATGGGGGCTGAGTCCACCCTGAGAAATCTGTTCTGGTGCTGGTGTACACCAATGTGTGGAGAGCTGGGCTGGCTCTGGAGGAGAAGCAGGACACATTCAACGTCCTGTCGACTTCTGCTGATGGAGTTATCCCTGGTACATCCATGTTGTTGAGCATCTCCTCAGGTCTGGGTGACCTCAGCCTAGATGAACCTCAGCGTAGAGAGGAGATTCGGAATTATCTTTGTGGGAAGGAGGAAATAACCATGGGGGTGGGAAGATCTGCAGAGCTTTGGGCTGAGGCCACATCCCAGCAGGGTGTCCCCCCTCGCCTGACGGCCCGCTCTTCTCTTCCAGGCACGGCTACAACTTCGTGGTGGTCATCCCGGCGGGCGCCTCCAACATCGACATCAGGCAGAGGGGCTACAAAGGGCTCATCAGCGATGACAACTACCTGGCCCTGAAGAACGGGCAGGGCAAGTACCTGCTGAATGGCCACTTCATCGTCTCGGCCGTGGAGAGGGACCTGATGGTGAAGGGCAGCGTCCTGCGCTACAGCGGCACCGGCACCGCCGTGGAGAGCCTCCAAGCCTTCAAACCCATCCAAGAACCCTTGACTTTGGAGGTGCTCTCCGTGGGGAAGATGACCCCTCCTCGGGTACGCTACTCCTTCTACCTCCCCAAGGAGAGCAAGGAGGACAAGTCCTCCTACAAGAAGGAAGGGGGCAAGACCCCGCCGGACCTCAACAACAGCGTCCTCAGCCTCTCCAACCGTTTGGACGGGGGGAGACCCAGCTACAAGCGTCCTTCTTACAAGTGGGCAGCTGGGGGTTGGGAGGCTTGCTCCGTCACCTGTGGGGATGGCTTGCAGAAGAGGTCGGTGGCTTGCCGTGACTCCTACGGCCAACCGGCCGCCGAGTGCGATGCCGCCCAACGACCGGCCGACGTCCGGCTCTGTGGGGAACCTTGCCCGGTTTGGGAAGCTGGACCTTGGTCTCCTTGCTCCAAGAGCTGTGGTCGAGGTTTCAAGAGGAGGGGGCTGAAGTGTTGGGTCCCCGGAGGACGCCTGCTGCCCCGGGAGAGTTGCAATTTTCGGAGGAAGCCCCAGGAGCTGGATTTTTGCACCTTGAGGCCTTGCTGAGCGGGTGGAGGAGGCATCTGAGAGGGAAGGGCACGGCGTTCCCCATGGCTGGATGCAGCCGAGGGGGTGGGGAAGAGGGAGAGATGTCCATAGCACATAGTAAACGGGGCTGGGGGGAAAAGAAATGGAAAAGCAAAGAAAAAAAGGGGAAAAAAAAAAGGGACCTGGGTGTGGGGACAGAGCACGCACACCCCACGTGCCCGGGAGAGAGGGATTTTTGGTTTTTTTGGTGTTTTTTTGTTTTTTTTAACCGACCAGGTCACTCGGAGACAGGGCGGGAACGAACATCTACCTCGAAGCCGCCGAGCGACGCGGAAACCCAGTGGCTGGGAGTTGTGGGGAAAAGGGGTTGGATGGATGGGAAGGAAAGGGGGGAGGAATCTCCATCCCGGGATGGGGATGGATCCCGGGCCAGGCAGGGAGAAGCCCCTAAATTGCACAGTCCAAACCTCCCCCCACCCCAACTTCCCCGGGGCCAAGCCTACCTCCCCCAACACTCCTCCTAAAAGGGACCAAAAAAGGATTTACCAATGCAACGACGGCAAATCCTACTGTCCAGCCACTGGTGTGATGAGTTGTTGGGCCTGATGCCTCCAGGGCTCGCTGGTGAGGACTTTTCCAGGTCTGGGAGAGCCAGGCTGGCAGGTGGTGGCTTTATTTTCGTTTTCTCCTCGTGTTTATGACCTGACCAGTGTAGATTTTATGGTGCTTAACTCTGTATTTTTTATTTTTTTTTTGGTTGTTGTTTTAACCTCCTTCCCTCCCCTCCCCGAGGGATGTAACCCTTGCATAGTGGGGATGGTGTTATTCCTTGGGGGGGACTTTATTTCCCATCCTATGGTGCTTCGGTCCAGGGCAGGTTGGAAAACCACCCGCCTGAGGTTTTTCAGGGTTCAAAAAGGATCACTACGGACCTGAGATCTGAGCTGTCATTCCAAAAAAAAACCCCAAAAAAGACCCAACAAGCAACTGTACTGTGGTACCACGGGGTCAGCCCCACCAGTCACCGGTACTTGACTCCGCTCTGGAAATGGTGCTCGCTGCTTAATGGGACCAGTATGCCATGCCCAAACACCTCTGCCCTCCACGCTTTGGGCCAGGCTGGGCTATTTTTCCTTCTGTGTTAACATGGTGCTCGCTGCTTAATGGGACCAGTATGCCATGCCCAAACACCTCTGCCCTCCAGCCTTTGGGCCAGGCTGGGCTATTTTTCCTTCTGCATAAAGCTCCTTCCCCCCAACCCCAAGCTATGGGAGATGGGGTGACATCCCCAGCATCGCTTCTGAGCGGTGGGAGAGGAAGATAAATTCAGGTTTGGGGTTTTCCCAAGGAAAAAAAAAGGGCTCAGCAGGGTTCAGGCGTGTGGAAATAGGAAGATAAATTCAGGTTTGGGGTTTTCCCCAAGGGAAAAGGGAAAATAAAAGGGCTCAGTGGGGTTCAGGAGTGTGGAAAAAGAGCATGGGGTTGAACCTCTTGCTGCTGCAGAGCATCCACCACCAGCTTCCCCCTCTGGGGTTTTATTTGGTGCCTCTGAGGGTCCCGTAGCATCGTGCCCCGTGGTGGTGGGAGCTGCCTTACCTCACACACTGCTCTCTCTCTGCCCAATGACCCTTTAATGCCTCCTTTAAGGTCTTCTGCTCCGATCAAATCACCAGGGACCACTTGACTTCTTGCTTTTCCACCGATGAAGGTGCCTCTTAATCAATTAGCTGTGACCCTGAGCCAAGCAGAGCCTCGGGGTCGAGCTACGGCATTACTGGGACCAGCAAGAAGGGATATTACACATTATGGAGATTATGGGTGGGCTGAAGATGCTGTCTCAGCAATTAAAGGCTTGGAGCCCACCTTGTTCCCTCCATCCCACGCAGGTATAGCCTGGAAACTCCTCGTGCCCCTTGGTCTGCTCCCAAAGGTCTCCAGCTGTGGGCAGATTGAGAAAGATGACCAGGTGGCACAAGGGGTTGACCTTCCCACCAGCTCCCAAAACTCCTCGTGACGATGTCTGTGGAGCCATCCTCCCTCCCTGGATGTATGTCAGATGGGAATATTTTGGGATGGGACTTGGTCTTCCAGAGAAACCCTTCCAAGTCTCCATTCCCATGTGGGGAATTCTCCATTCCCATCATCCATTCTCCGAGGGTTTTCCTGTGTAGCCGAGCCCAATGTGCTTTCCTCAAGGAGGGGGGATGGAGCTCCCCTTTTGTCTCTTGCCATTTGAGAGATGGTTCCCAAAGCCACTGAGATATCATCACGTTGGGGAGGGGAAAAGGGGGGTAAAAAAGGGGGGTGGGAGGGATTTCTTGTGTTGCCGTTCTTCTGCCCGGCGTGCAGCGGAAGGAAGGACGGGAGATGCCAATCATACTGGCTGCTTTGTGTATACCATGTATACTAAACATCGATCTCTGCTGTTTGTGCCTCAATAGCAAACCCGAAATAAAACTGTATTTAAAGTTACGCCTGGTTTCCCGGGGCTGGGGGGAGAGGGGGAGGGCAAAAAACCATCTGTGCCCATGTGCCTCTGTTGTTTCTTGTTTGCTTGTTCTTCTCCTTGTTGCCTTTCTTTCCTTTTTTCTTTATGTTGGAAGTTTTGTTTGGGTTTGTTATTGTTGTTGTTGTTGTCTCTTTTCACTGGTGCCCAGTGGCAGGACAAGAGCTAATGGGGAAAAACTTGAACATAGGAAGTTCCATCAAAACATGAGGAGGAACTTCTTTAATTTGAGGGTGGCAGAGCACTGGAAGAGACTGCCCAGAGAGGTTGCAGAGTCTCCATCTCTGGTTCAAAACCCACCTGGATATGTTCCTGTGCAACCTGCTCTAGGTAGACCTGCTTTGGCAGTGGGGTTGGACTAGATGATCTCCAGAGGTCCCTTCCAACACCATATCATTCTATGTCATTTACCTGGTGGCTACGGAGAATTTCTGGTCTTCTTGTGGTCCCAGCCTCTTCGAAGCCTCAATAATTCAAGAAAAAAAAACACAGCTTTGAGTGCCTAATAGGTTTTTTGAGACTTTTCTGCTACAAAAAAACCTCCACCAACCAGCATGAAGGAGCCTGGTGGTGGATTGTTCCATCAAGACCCAGGTCTTACCTTCACCATGACATTAAATACCGGAGGCTGGTTTGGTTTAGCCTGAAATTAGGATGCTCTTCCTTCAGGAAAACAGCACTATAGGGTTAAATGGATTAATGTAATGTAAAAACCTAAAAAAACTGGAACGGGGCTCTCATATCCTGGAACAACTGTGTCTGCACATACCATTGTCCAGGACCATCCCTTCCCCAACGTGTTATTCCAGTAATGTGGACAAACCCTGGGTCTCAGCCCCTCATCCCCTCACCTCCGGATGGTCTGGAAAAAAGCCAGATTAGCTGAGATGCCCGGAAAAAAAAACCCCAAAACTAAACCTATTCCTCCTTCCCCTTTCCCAGCACACCCTCCCTGAGTCACAACCTTCTTCCTTCGGGGCCACCGGTGAGATAAAGCCCTGCCCTTCCAAGGGACACGTCCTCCTGATGTCACCCCCTCCACAGATTGCCTGCTGTTTTATTCCCCATCACAGATTAGCTGAGATGCCCGGAAAAAAAAAAAACCCAAAACCAAACCTATTCTTCCTTCCCCTTTCCCAGCACACCCTCCCTGAGTCACAACCTTCTTCCTTCGGGGCCACCGGTGAGATAAAGCCCTGCCCTTCCAAGGGACACGTCCTCCTGATGTCACCCCCTCCACAGATTGCCTGCTGTTTTATTCCCCATCCCCAGCAAACGCAACTGTTTTTTTTTTTTTCCTGCTATGCTGTAATGATTTGGCTCATTTAATGTAGTTTTTAAAGGGGGGGGCACAAACTGGCTTTGTTTTTCATGGCCATAAAGAAACAAACAGGACACACCCGACCCAGCATCTTCCCCCTGGCTGGGTCCTATGGGGGAAATAAAGGATTGATCCCTAAAAAAAAATAAAAAAACCTTCAGTTCCAGCCCAGATATATCCCACGTTGCAAAGGCTCCAGCTGCAAACAGCTTTATTAGGGATAAAAAGGGAGGTTTCCAGCTGGTGCAACACCCCCTGCCTTAGTTTTCCCCTTGGGTATTTGGTCAGGAGCCAAAACCTAGGTTGAAACCAACACCTTGTTCCTCCAGCACTGGGTGACAGCCACACTTTTAACCAGGTTCCCCCTTAAAAATCACCCAGAGAGATTAAAAAAACCCCACAAAACCAACCACAAAACCCCCCAAGCGTTTACCTGGTAAGGAAGGAAAAAACCAAGCACCATCTTGGAGGTGTTCAACCAAGTGGTGGTCTCTTTTCTCAGGGAGCTTTGCCCCAGGAAAGCTGGGGGTGGTTTAATGGGGTCTGAGCCAAACACCAGCACCTGGGACTGGGAGGGTGACACAGGTGATGTCCCACATCCCCACCAGGCTCCCTGGGGAGAGAGAAACCATGTGGAGCATCACAGGCCATGTCCAAGGGGAAGGGGCATCTTCTCCCAGCACCATGAGACACCGTCCCCAACAGCTCTGGGGCTTCCCAGTTTCCTGACGTGGAAAGATGTTGTGTTTTGCTTCCTTTTACTCTGAATTTGGATTCTCTGGTGGCTAATAAAAGGCTGAGCTGGCTGCTTTTCCCCCTTCAGGGGCCACTGATGCATCTTCACCTTCATCCTCCAGCTCCCCTAAATGTGAAGGAAACTCATAACCTGGAAACCTCAGCTTTGCTGGGGTTAAAAACGGGGTTAAAAGCAGGGAATTGGAAGTGGCAGGTTGATGGGCATGAGGCTCACCTCCTTGTCCCAAGGATCTCGTCCAGGGATCCCCACCAAGCTCCCAGATAATGTCTTAATTTGGAGAAGGGAGTTAATTACACCCCGGGTTGGGCACATTTCTGAAATGCCCCTCTGGCAGCATCTTATTTCCCTGCTCCCTGGCTTTGGCAGATGGAGAGCACCGTGGGGTTTGGAAAAAAAAACTACAAAAAGAACTCCATCCTACAAAAAAAACCCACCAAAACCCTACCAAAATAACCCCAAAACTTAAAAAAAAATTAAAAAATCCCACCCCCAAAAAGAACAGACCTACCAAATCCTCTGCCAGAACAAGTGCATTTAGTTCCCCTGGTTGTTTCCCAACCCCTTTCTTTGCCCTTTTCATGTGTTTTTCCCCAGGCATCTGTTTTTGGGCACCTTTGGAGAAAGATGCTGGATTAGAGCAAGCTCTGCCCCGACCCAATACACATTTCCTTACGTTTTAAGCTGCAAAAATGGCATGAAAATGGAATCTAACCCGTGGCGTGGTAGCACGAGATGTTCTCGATGGGACACAGAGATCTCCAGCCTCTTAAACTCTTGCTTAAGACATGTAACAAGTGCTGAACTCTCTCGATGATTTAATACACGAAGGGATTTGCTGAGAGGGAAGGTCCTTGCCGTGCTCTGAGTTTTCTTCACTCCAAGCTCAGGCAGAAAATGCTTTTATGAAACTAAAAACCCTTCTCCAGCATCTGGCACCGCCGGTGAATCTGCTTCCTCTTGTTTGTCCTGAGTCAAAACACAAGAAAATTGCAAAAAAAAATTAAAAAAAATATAAATAAATGGGGGGAGGTTACCTGAAATGGAGCATCAGGGAGAGAAACCATGGAAGGGGTGGGCAGTGTTGGCATCTCCTCCATCTTTCTGGTCCAGGGCGCTTCGACGCGGCTCCGGATCCTCTCCCTGAGGTTGGGATGCTGCCCTGCTATCATTATTGCAATTATTATTATTATTATTATTATTGTTATTATTGGTGTTTGCCAGGACACAAAAGCAAAACCAGACGGAGGTTGAAGGAAAGGAGCTAATAGAGAACACATGTCCTGCAGGAAACATCTCCTGGGGTGGAGTAGGGGGGGATACATGGGAAGGGCAGCGCAGAGCTTTGCACGGGGAAAATGAGGATGTTCACCCGAAATTAGGGATAGAGAACAAAATGCTGATGTGGAACAGGGATGGGAGACCCTGGCCCTTCTCCCAGGCCTTCTCCATCACCTCAGCTGACGGAGGAGGACAGATTGTGCCGGCTACGGCCGGCCCTCGCCGAATCTGGCAGGAAAAAACCTGCTTTCCAAGCAGAAAAAAAAAAAAAAAAAAGGCCTTTTTTTTTTCCCCACTGAGGATGTGTCACTGATCCTCACCCCGGGTCAGGCGCTTGCAGAAAGCCCAGGCAGCATTTCTGCATTCAGGGAGGAGGGGGGGGGATGGAGAGGAACCCCAGCAGCGCCGTGGGACCGGCAGGGAGAGGGATGCCAGCCCCCCCAGCCCCCCCGGCGATGCTGACCCTCGTTGACTACTTACAGCAGACTAAACTTCCCCCCATCATCCTCCCCAGCCAGAAAAGTGACACGTTCCCACAAGCATTTCTGCTGTCGTTTTAATTTTTTTTAATTTTTTTTTATTTTTTTTTTTTTTTTTCTAATTATACAACACACGCTCTCAGTGCCAAATGTGCTCCGGCCAACTCCAACCCAGCAGAGCTGGTGGATTTACAGCAAGAAAAAAATCCCACCTCCTTATCATCCGGTGGCAGGAGATGAATTTTTACCCTTTTGGAGGTCTCCATCACCTATTTTGGGTCCTATAAAGCCCTCATCCTGGAAGAAGCCATGGCAGATGGAGAGAGAGACGGCGGTGCTCGGCCGAGGGCCGCCCTCGGCATCTCCCAAGGCATGAGCTGAGGAAATCAGGCAGCTGTTAAAAACTATAATCCTTAACTGGGTAAAAAACCTCAGAAATCACAGCCATGGGGTGAGCGGTGAGAGCTTTCCAGCCGGCTCCTGGGGAAGGTGCTGCGTTTGGATTTAGTCTAATTAATATCAAGCTCAGCCAAGCAGGCCCGGGAGGCGGATGGGTCTCCCAAATCGTTATTTAATGGGGCTCGATTATTTATTTTTGAAGGTATTTCTTTCTTTTTTTTTAAAGTTTCTCACCCCTTTGGAAATGAATTTAGGGCCGATGAGAGGTGTTGGATCGACAGCCCTGGAAATAACAAGCCCTCAAGGAGAAATGTTTCGGAGTCGTGGAAGGACCAACGCTGTACGAAAACCCAGGCGTAAGGGTAATTAATTTGCAGTAACAGCTGCTTTTTTGCTTTTTTTTCTGCTCGAAAATCAAAAAATAGAGACTGGGGGGGGTTGACAGAGCATCTGAGACACTTTCAGGTGGCCAAAGCATCGGGCACGGCCGGAGCTGGCGAAGCAACACGCCATCCCTGAGCCACCAAGGGCTATGTTTCGGTGCTTTAATTGCTGTTCCTGCTTAAATACCCCATTTTTTTTTTTTCTAAGCCCTTAAGGATGTTCTTAATTTTGAGCAGGACCCTTCGGCACCTCGGTACAGCCCCTGAGCAAAGCGACTTCACACAGAGGCTGGAAGTTTACACCAAATAAAAAGTGTTTGGGGTGTACAGAGCTGAGAAAACACCCTAA